TTGTCCTGTGATAGCTCCATAGTCGTTAAGGATTCTGAAAATATTCTCAGCTTCTGCCGTCAATGCCTCTCCGAAAATAACAGTGTCATCCGCAAAAAGGCAGTGCGTGAGGATGGGGCAATGTCTGTTGAGTCTCAGTCCTCGAATCTCCCTGCTCCTTACCAAATTTTCAACAAGGAATGACAAAGCGTTTGACATCAGTATGAAAAGGAGTGGAGATAAAGGGTCTCCCTGTCTCAGACCTCGCGAAGGCAGGAAACCGAGAGACGGCTCCCCATTAAATAAAACTTGAAAACGGACAGAGGAAACACAGGCACGAACCCAATTGCACCAGATGTCATTGAAACCATAGGCCTGTAGTAGCTCGTTGAGAAACCCTCATTCCACCAGGTCATATGCTTTCTTCATATCCAATTTCATCATCATGTCCTTTCGGTTGCCTTTCTTGTGTTTTTTGAAATGGTTCAGTACCTCATGAACAATGATTATATTGTCTTGAATCTGCCTTCCCCCTGTAAATGCAGATTGTAGTTCATTCACTAGTTCTGGAAGCCAAGGCTGGAGCCGATTAGTCATGATCTTAGTGATTATTTTGTATCTAAAATTGTAGCAGCTGATAGGGCGGTATTGTGTAATCATTTCCGGGGCTGCCACTTTTGGGATGATGGTGATGAATGTATCATTCCACTCCTCTGGCATTGTGTTATAAGAAAAGAACCCCCGGATCTCATCACACAGGGACTCCCCCAGAATGCTCCAAAACAGTCTGTAGAAGAACCCTGGGAAGCCATCAGGGCCAGGTGCCTTATTGGCTCCCAATTGGAAGGCAGCTCTCTTGATTTCCTCGTTATGCAAGGGGGCAGTAAGAGCAAGATTTTGTTCAGCAGAGACCAGTGAAGGGAATCCCTGTAGAATAGAATGGTAAAAAAAACCACCCCTGCTAGTGAATAGTTGCCGATAGAATCCAGTGACCATATCTCCCAGCTCTTGTTCATTCTCAATCCACACTCTGCTGTCGTTCTTTAGTTTAAAAATCCTGTTAGAGTTTCGTCTTTTGACAGTGCTGGCATGGAAGAACCCTATATTTTGGTCTCCCTCCTGCAGCCATGAATTCCTGGATCTCTCAGCCCAGAACTCCTCCTCTGATGCCCAGAGAAGTTGGAGCTCTTGTTGGAGGGATTTCTCCTCCTCCGTCATCGCCATTGACCTGTTAGGTCCTTGGATAAATTGAATCCTATGTCTGATATCATTCTCCCTCCTGCTCTTGAGTTCCCTCTCATTTTTCGCCCATCTTGTAAGATTACCTTGGCAATTCAAGAGGGTTCGGTTGATAGATTCCCTTTTACCAGCTGTGGCAGTGATGATGTGACAACATTCTTCCTCATCCCGCCATCTTTCATCAAATCGAAAGAGGGTATTAACTCTGCGTCTTTTTGGAGTGAGATCAATCCTGATGGGGCAGTGATCCGACTCGACAAAGTCTTCATGGAAGACTGCTGCAGAAGCATACTCGAGCCTCCAGGATGCAGAGCACAGTGCTCGGTCAAGCCTTTCTCTGATGAGATTGTCTCCTTGTTGTTTGTTGGTCCACGTAAAAGGCTGGCCAGAAAAGCCAAGATCCAACAGAGAATTTCTCTCGATGAAGTATTTGAAAGGGGCTACATTCTCATTTCTCAAAGGGCGTCTCCCCTATTTTTCACACGGCGCCATCGCCACATTAAGATCACCTACTATTAACCATTTTTCATCCTGGATGTCTCTAAGGTTCGTAATTCATTCCCAGAGCATCCTTCTCTCTACCACCATGGCAGGAGCGTGGATGAAGGTACAAAAGAACACCACACCTTCACAGCAAATAGAAATGTCCACAAAGGACTTACACGAATCCAAAATACTGATTGTAATATCATCCTTCCACCAAAGTGCAAGACCGCTTCCTTCAGTTGCAGGGCTCACATACTCCGAGTGGTCGAACTTCAGGGCTCTTCTTCTACTATCGAGAAATGAATCTTCCTTCTTCGTTTCCATTAGAAAAACCACTGAAGGGCCGAATTTCCGGCATAGTCTGCCGCAGTAACTCCTTGTAAGAGGCTGGCCATAACCCCTACAATTCCAGCTAATCATTCTCATTCTTGATTAGGCGGCTTGAGGCATGCCGCCGCTTCCTTTGGTGATGAAGATTCTCCTTCTGCCGACTGGTTGCCATCATTGTTGATCTCTGCAATACTCCTTCTTCTTATGGAATTTCTCCTCCTCTGGTAAATTTTCCTGCTTCCACCTGGTGAAAAAGACAGTCTCCGCTTGGAGATTAACAGGGGTGAAAATTTGAGGAAGAGATAGGGAAGGGGTGTCCCTGGTGTCGGGCTTCCTTTTCTTCTCTGTTCTTGCAATAATCCCACCGCCAGCTGTTGTCGCGGGGATGGTTGCTGTTGAGAAAATGGTCTGGGCCAGTGGATCAGACTGGATCTGGTTGAAACCCTCTTCAGTTGGGATCGTCAGTTGCACTATTTGGGCCTGTGACTGGTGGTATGTCTCCGCGACTGGGCTTTCCTCTTGCACTGTATGGGCATGCTGGTGAGCTTCTCCGAAATGGACCGGTTCATGGGTGAACTGGGAATAGAGAGGGCTGGCCAGTGTTAAAGTCTGGCCCATCTCTTTCAGGCCTGCCTGCTTGGTCCTTGTGGACTCTCAGCCCGTTAAGTCGAGACTCCTCTGTAGAGCAAGAGTTGTTGCTTCCTTCTCCTCCATAAAGCCTGTCGTCTGAAAAGTGTTGGGATTTCTGGGTGCCTCCTTCTGTATCCAGACTGGTCCCGTGAGGTGCTGTGGTTCTTCAGTTGTCAGGGCTGCAAAGCCTGGTGGGCACGAGGATGATCCATGCCCGGTGCGCCCCACCAGAGACATCAACGAGGATTCTCCTCGGGATCCTCTCAGTCGGTGGGTCCTGGACCCTGACAGTGCCATTTCCCTCTCTCTTGCTAGCTTCTCTCGGAAAGATGCCGGCGGAGTGTTCGTTGGCGAATCATGTCCCGACTTAAGTGCTGCTGTGTACACTTCCGATGGGTCTGTGCTTAGCCCCCTTCTTCTGTGATCTTCTCTAAGCAGACAGTTTTGGATTAGGTGCCCTAGCTTCCCACAGAAATAGCATAGGTCCATAATCCTTTTGTACTTGAAGCTTACCCAGATAGATCTCTTCCCCTGGGGATACTCGAATCCGATAGGAATGGGTTTGTCGAGGTCCACTTCTACCTTGGCTCGGATAAATTTCAGCCAGCCCCTGAACTCGAAGTTGGATTGATCGATGCCATAGTAATGGGGGAAGATGTACTCTACAACTGCCTGGATTGCTTCCTCATCTTTAAGCGACTGTGGGAGGTCATGCATCTGGACCCACAGCGTGACCATCGGGATGTCAGATGGCTCCGCCTTCTGCTCGCTGTCCCATTTTCTGAGTGCAATCAGAGTATTCCCCAGATTCCATGGACGGGCATCGTACACTGCATCTCGTTGGGTGGCATATTGGAAGGAGTACACGTAAAGATTTTCCGCCTCTTTTGTTGCCTGAACCTCACCATAGGCTCGTCATTTGCTTGCCGCTGTATTCTTGGCCTTCTGGAGGTTAATGTTGGTGTCTGTGACCCACTTGCCTAACAGCATGGCCATGCCGCTTCCTCTGGCCCTGTCACCTTTGGTTTGAAATTCAAGACCAGATGGCTCCTCTCTCCTCTCAGGTTCATCGGGTGGTTCTCCATAGCCGTTTGGGGGTGGGGAGGAAGAAGGTAATTGGTGTTGTAAGGGGTTTCTTTGTTCTCTCTTGTATTTTTTGAGCTATGCTTCATTCGTTGAGGATGAACTGGGAGTTGGTATGGGTGGGTTTCCCAGGTTGACCTCTTTATATAGTGGCGGAATTGACTCTTCACTTGACTCTTTCCTGCGGGAATCGCCTTCAATGCTCTCTGTGCTGGTTGTTGGTTGGGTCTCCCCTTCCCCTCTCTTTTCCTTTTGCTTACTCTTCCTCTGTCTTGCCTATTGTGTAGCATGCTGACCTTCGCATTAACTCCCTTCTTCCTTGTATTGGCTATTTCTGGGGTGGTGTCAGTCTGCTGGGAATTGAAGTTCCTTCTGCCTCTTCTGCCTTCCGTTGCCTTAACTTGTTGTGGCCGACGGTTTAGCAGTCTGACCTTTCTTCTCTTTGTAGTGATAATGATTGCTGCAATAACTCTCAAGATTTGTTTGCAGTGACCTTGCTGATGGTTTGTGATGTGCAGATCTTCCTCGAGGCAGGATCCCTCTTCCCTTTCCTTCTTAGCCTTTTCAATCCCCGTTGCCTGAGCTTTAATTCGTCGTGTGTCACCATTGGAGATTTTCTTCCCCAGATTCGGAATAATGGTCGCTTTCTCAGGTGGTCTGGGCGGTGGTTGCATTGATTTCTCTTGGTTTGCCACTCCTTTAAGGCTCTTTCTCCTGGGTAGCAAGATTGATTGGCAGCCTTCGTAATTAATGCTAAGGGCACCTCCATTTACTCTTCTGCTATATTTCTCACAGTCGTAATATGGCTTGACAGTGGGGATTTTGTTGACATTGATGGCTCCGATCTCGGCAGCTGGAAATGGTAGGGAAGAAGTTGAAGGCATGTGGAAGGTTATTGCTGGTGGAAATGTGAGACTTGCTCTAGAAAGTGGTTGTTGTTGCTGGAGATGTTTCATCCGAAGAAGGAGCGTTGTTGAGGTGGGAAAGTGTTCTCTCCGCAGATTTTGATGATATTTTTTCTCTCGTTTTCCTTGGGTTGGCTGAGTTGGTGTGCATTTTTTTTGTTTACTTGAATGGTACTTGAAGTCAACAATCACCAGGTTTCTTTAAAGGCTTGTGGTTTATAGTACCAATTTGATTAAAATGGCAACTCTTCTGCACTCCATGATTAAACATACCCAGAAAGTGGATTCTATAATTCACTACATCACTAGAATTCATCCATCCCTCAGTCAATACTGCATGAATTTTACGGCATCTTCCAATGCGAGACCGAAATGGATTCAAAATAGATTGATCAAAGAGGGGGAATCCAAAAACAAACACGAAAACAGCGAGCAACAAACTTCAGCAGCACAGTAACTCATATCATTCAGGGGGGCAAAACTAACATAAGGTTTCTCACAACATATAGACGGATATATTGAACTATACACAAGCCTGTCAAAAGTGTGATGGTACAACACCAAAACTGAGGGTAAGCAATGACGGAACGTCAACAGTATGCAATGACAAAGGGGCGCACGAAGTAAACACAGCGCCTTTGAAGTCGCAGGGGGGTTATCCAAATAACTATCGTTCATGGTCATCCACAGGTACCCGACATACATGTCTCACGTTCTGGATGTTCACTTCCCAATTCCAAGTTCCTTCTGGATGTCTCTTGTCAGACTGAACTGTAAGGTGTTGTGCCACGGGAAGAGAGTCCTTGTGACTGGAAGCTTCCTCCTTAGATCCTGCGACCATAAATGAACATGAAAATTTCACTGAAATGAGCACAATTTTGGATTGAGTAAAAGTGCAGACTGTAGAATGTCTGGAGGACATGATGTGGGTACCTTGAAAGTCGTGTCTGGCAAATTCGAGTATGATGCCTGCAAGAAAGACACGATTTTGTAAGCAAATAGCTTGAAATCTTCATTTAAAGTATTTCAAGAAAACCAAACCAAAAGGATATAAGTTAGAACCTCAAGAGACCCCATGTACTCTGTCTCGTGGTGACGAATTGTATTGGCTATCGAAATTGCACAATCATCTGGTGCCTGAAGCACAATTTTGGGAGGTTAAGCATCTAGCCATGTGAAGCAGAAGTCCACATAGAGCCTAACTCCTAAACCAGAACAAAATAAGGCACATAAGTGCTATGCTACCTAAACCAGAATCCGATTCCAGTCACCCAAGTTACCACATTACCAATGATGATAAGTAGGAACTCACTCCCAGAACATGATTTATGAATATGAATGTCCCTACAATCTTGATAAACAACAAAGTACGAAACTGGGGGGGTAATTCTGTCTACTTCTATCAACCTGAAAGATTGTTCCATCTTGGAATTCTTGTTCTGCATCAAGCTGAACATTTCCCTCTTCAAAATAATGGGCATCCACCTGCAAGATAAAACATGCACACGAGAAAAATAGAAACCCTTGAGGTTCAGTTCAGGTAAGAAATTCCTTATGAGAACAAACACAGATTTGCTATAAAGACACAACAATAGCTATTGCTAAATGGTACCTGCAATTTTCCTTTGATTTCCAGTACTTGTAAATCATCTTTGAACTTTATGTTCCACACTGACCTCCAACTTCCATTGCTATAAAATATTGAAACAGAGGTGGTTAAGACTTAAGACGGAGAAGTAACTACTTGAAGCTACAGGTTAAGAATCAGCTGTATGATCAAACTAATCCAATAAAAGAAATTGCTGAAGAACGAAAAGCTAAACAACTAAAAGTTTGGCTGGCTCCACTAACCAGAAATTCTTTGGGCTGTTTCTTACAGCTGCTATGACCACGGCAAACTCAAAATTACATCCGGGCCCCTCAGCATCTTTCCCATCAACACAGTAGACAGAGCAGACACCTTTTGGATAAGCGTCTTCGACATATTTCAGTATTTCCGCGTCAAGTGCACAACTGACATTCCCATAATAGCAAAGGTCATGCATAAACACTAAGAAACTACTGAATTATGAAACGAAAAGACTCTTGACTGATTCTGCAAGTATTTTGAGTACTAATTCACTTGTTAGTTACTTTTATTCTAATATTTTCAGGCATAAACTACCATTATAAGCCATCATTAAGTAAATTCTCATTCTAAGCCATACGCTGAGAATATAATCAATTCGGATACGAAAGATCCCGACACGCCATGCATCTGCATTATAAAACATTCGCTATTATTCTTTCTCATCTTTCAAGTCAAAGTTACCATTCTAAGCCATCTTTTCGAGAAGTCTCAACAAAGACATACACTAAATACATTCAATTCTAATAGGAAAAGGAACCCTACACAGACTGCAACTATTTATGCTATAATGCATTCATTGTCAAACTTTATAATCTTTCAAATCAAAGTTACAATTCTAAGCAATCGCTAAGTAAATAGTCTCACCAAAGTCAAACAAATCGTACCGGAATTCCTCAACATAAGGGGATGCTAGTTCCTCGTCGGCTGCAGGTCTCGCCTCTGTACAAGCCTGAATCCATTTAGCACATCATGATATACAAGATGGGCAACCAACAAAAACAGCAGGGCCTATGAGGTAGACAAAGTTCATAACTAGAAATTGCATAACCAACAATGCATTCATTCATTCATGTCTAATGTCTTCAAAGAAATTGCATTGAATTCAGAATGCCAGCCATTAAACGATCAATACATTCTTAGAGAGGAAGCTTACTTGCTTGACATGATCAATTGTGACAATCTGTGCAGTACGAGGCTCGATAAACTGATTCTCCTCGAGCTCATTGTATGGCGTAATCAAGACCTAATAATCCAAACCATCTTCAGTTAAAAGACAACAGAAAAAAAACCCCGTTTCCAATTACAGTGAACCAAGATCGGGAACGGTATAGTTTAAGACAATCCGAAAGTCGTTCAACGCCCAAGAAACTGGAAGTTAGGGGAGGGGAAACGTGAACTTACGTCGCCGCTCCGGCAGGGAAGTTCGAGGCAAATCAAGTGAAATTTGTTGTAGAGAGGGAACGCCTCCGAGGTCGCTTCATCATACACTTTATCGTCATTCAACACCGATCTCAAATCTGCACGGCGACGAAAAGAATGCAAAGGAATCACGAGACTCGATCTGGAAAACTGAAACATCGACGCAATGCGGAAAAAGAAGAAAAAGACGAAGAAGGAGAAGTAAGCGTGCATATGTAAAACGAAGAGGCACGGAGACCTTTGGCGATGTACTGGATTTCGCCGGAAGGAGCGTTTAGGAGGAACCATTTGGCGATCTCTTTCTTCTGCTCGTCGCCCAGTTCACATTCCTTTTCCGCCATTGCTGCTCTATGTTGCCTCTCTCTTGCTCAATCACTCGCTAACAAGTTGACTCGCTGAGTGCCTGTCTTCCTTCCACTGTCTTCGCTCCGCCGGCGGTTATGCGTTTCTTCCGGAGAAAACCGACGAGAGGTCGGGTTGGCTCGCTTGGCCGCTCCTCCGCTTATTGGACTTTTGAAAGAAGGGGAAATGGAGAGAGAGAGAGTGTGTGTGAACTTGTGATCTGGAAAGTCCATCTGTGGGGCCCAGCTGATCCAGACCGTTCAATTGTCGAGGATATCGCTCGACGCCGTTTAATCGTGCAGCGCTCCATTTCATGGCAAACGGCAAAGACCTGGTTAAATGCACCACTTACTATTTAAGTATATCATATAACTAACTTTTTTTGTTGCGAATAAATCTTTAATTCGAATTTCGGGTGCAACTAAACCATATAAATTGAATAATGGTTGCACCACCACAATTTTCATCCACTAACTAAATGGTAGGTACCATATATGAATTATTGTACTACTATTTTGCAAAAAATAGGGTAGTGTCTACTTTTTATACAAATTTTTTTGAAATTATTTTATATTATTCAAACCTATTAAAATGCTATTAATTAGTCAAATCTTTCGTAATGCATCAAAATATTAGCCATTTTTACATTATCATTAATAAGTTAGTAACTCTTTTCTTAGTTAAAATACTAAAAAAATTTGGAATGTTTACCTTCATGTGTCTCTTCCAAGTCAGTATCATGTTGTCAAGTCAATATTACTAACAAAATTGCGAACTGAAAGTTAATATTTGGCTAATTCTCAGTATTTCGATAGGTCTAGCTAATAAAAAACAATACAAAAAAAGTTTGACTAATAAATAGTCATTATCACAAAACATAATGCATATACGTATCATTTTGATATAATGGCAAACTTACATAACAAATTTTTGGATAATAACCACTTTGTGTTATGTTTCTCCTTCATCGCCACACCACTGACATTGTCTCTTCCTTCTTCACCCCATTTCTTCTCGTTTCCACTTTGCAAACCCCATGTTCTGAAACTTCTTGACTCGTTCCAACTACAACATCCCGATCGACGGCCAAGTATAACCGCCGACCAGGTGTAGCATAGGGCAAGCAACCAATAATAGGCTTACCTTACTTCGTTTAAGGGTTCGTTATCTAAGCAACCTAGGATACTGATTAATAAAACTAAACTTACCAACCTAAACTAACTACTAACCTAGATATTTACAAGGTTTGTAGCTCTCTGGGTTGAACCGTCCTAGGTCCGTCCTTTGGGTCGATGTTGGGTATCCTCCTAGCTCGATCACTCAGATACACTACCGTTAGGAGATAGAATCCCTCGAGAATGACCCAGAACGGCGAATCGATGAATGGGGTGTGCTCTATTCAACCTAGGGCAACCCTATATCGTAGGAGATTGATGGAATCGACTCCCTCGGGGATCACCCAAACGATATAGGATGAGGAGTGACCTAAAGACGCCAATAATGGGCTCTAAGGGATTTTCTCACTCCATGAAAATGGAAACCCAACTAATGCCATTCATGAAAACATCCATCAAATAAGTAAAATCATCAATCAAACATGGAATTTGTCACATACATCAACAACAAACCAAAACCTAGACCTAAACCTAGGGTTCTTAAACCCAAGAGAAGAGGTGAGTTTCTAGAGACAGAAGCCTTTTTCAAATAACCAAGAATGGTTCCTCGGCAACGACGACAAAAATTTGACTCGTTACAACTACAACATCCCGATCGACAGCCAAGTATAACCGCCGACCGAGTGTATCATAGGGAAAGCAAGTAATAATAATTTATCATACCACGGGGATCTAGGCTTACCTTACTTCGATTTAGGGTTCGTTATCTAGCCAACCTAGGATAGTGAAATAATAAAACTAAACTAACCAACCTAAACTAACCACTAACCTAGCTATTTACAAGGTTTGGAGCTCTCTTGGGTTGAATCGTCCTAGGTCCGTCCTTTGGATCAATGTTGGGTATCCTTCTAGATCGATCGACTCAAATACTCTACCGATAGGAGATGGACTCCCTCAGGAATGACTCGGAATGGCGAATCGATGAATGGGGCCGGAAAAATGACATGTGATAGCAACACAGGTCAAGATGGAGGGATCACCGGAAGCCAAGAATCACTAGTGATATATATCGGATCCCCCTAACCAATCTCCCCAACAAGATTCGAATTTTAGGAGAGAGCGACCTACTAGAATCCCCTGCCATGTCTAGGCTGATCAGAGAACCTTGTGGAGCTGTAGAATCACAAAGTCGGGCAATCTGACGATTCTTTATTTAAATCAAAGCAAGAATATATATATGTTGATGTAGCCCACAAGACTCGGGCCACTAACAACGACACTAACATCCACAACGTTGAAATCCAACTCTCTCAACCAACTAACCAGCTACAAACTCTGAGCAACCAAACCTATTTGTTCAGGATTTATTTGTAACAAATTGAAACATAAAGGACTCAGACAGACCAACTACAAACGACGCAGTTTCAAATAAAAGACAAATATACTCAAATTCAAACTGGTTTTGGGAACCTCTCACTAATTTTTGTGCCATAAGAATTTGGTTCCAACATATCCTCCCCTGAACTGAACTCCATCCAATATGAGTTCCATTTCACAACGTCAAGTTACCTTCAGTGCTCCTCAAACTCAGACAGGCTGCAGACTCCCAGCTTCCTTCTCATCCTCTGAAACGTACGTCTCCAGACCCAAAGCTTTAGTCATTATGTCAGCAACTTGATCTTGTGTTCCACACTGGTGCAACTCCACCACTCCTTCCTTAGCCAGATCTCTTAGGAAGTGAAACCTGACATCTATGTGTTTACTCCTACGATGTAAGACTAGATTTTTCGACAACTTAATGGTAGAGCAGTTATCACATAGAATCACAGTGCTTCCTTGTAACACCCATACATAATTTAAAACATTCACAAGATTATACCGATTAAAATCTTTTACAATTCTGTTTCGTTCACAAACCAAACCATAATTTACATAAACTTTTAATACTTCATTGATGCCGAGCTGAGCCTTATTGAGTTTCCTTGACTTCTAGTCCAACACTTCTAATCTTGGAAATAATTTTGACGGGGTGAGACGTCACCTCAATGAGTAAAAGCTAACCTATCAACAATATCAATACAAACATAATATCTGGTGAAGTCGAGCCCCGTGCTTAATATCTTAGTTTCCCGAGATAACCAATTTCAGTATCCACTTTGCTAAGGCATTCCAGACATGTAACCATGCACAATTCAGTAGTCAATATCACACACACACACACTAGTACACCCATCCATACACACACATACACACACAGGGTTAGCTAGATTTCGTGCCTTTTAGCCTTTAAGTTTCCAAGTCATGCACTCCCCCGAGTATATCCAGTAAATGCATAAAGCACCGTCAATAGATGCATTAAGCACCGCCAATAGATGCATTAAGCATCGCCATTGACCAGGCCTGGTATCGCTCTCCCGGAGAGCTAGCCATAAAGCCGCAATATCATATCTCATAGAGTGCATGACAGGCGCCATTAAGTTTGATATAGGTGATTAGACAATTCTTTAATTAGTCGCAAAACAAGTAGTAGACAGTATCATCAATCATTTAACACATATCTATTCTCGTATTCATAACATTCACATAGTTGCATTCAACATTCCATATAAGCACATCATCATCTTGTAAGCTTCCCAATATCACAATTCCGCCGTACAGGCTTTCCAGTAATCATAGGATAGCCAATTAGGCTATCTTAGTATCATCATACAGGCTTTCCATTCATTATACCCCATCACCTCGAAGGATTTTCAGTACTATAATATCGCCTTTTAGGCCATTTCATATCACATATACATTTCATCACCCAATCATGATAATGATCTATCACGTTTCACACACATATCATCACATAGTCACACACACATCACATTCGTCCATCATTCAACACATATAATTTCATTATCACACATATTCATAACCATCTATCAATCTCACATTTCATGTTCCATATCCGGGCCACTTCATAACCCGAATACCATATTTGTATCCATACGGTTAATAGGTTAGAGTTTACTCACAACTTATGATATTACTCCGCAATACCCTTTTGCCTTGATGTTTCCCCGACCTGCTCCTTTTCTTTTGCACAAAGCCATAAATATAATTCGCTACTACACAAGAATTTCCTAATCCAAATAACATTAATAAAAATGTACATAAATCTTGGCATTATTATGTCCCCGCTTCTTCTTTCCCACGTGACTCTTTGTCAAGGTCATGGTTAGTGATTTACCTACCAATTTCTATACCACACAAGGGTCAATTAAACTCACCAATTTCATATATGCCTGTCACGTAAATTGGTTCATACATCCCTTAATTCCTAAAATATCCTAGTTAATTAGAGTAAAAACAGGTACCCACTTCTAGTTTTCTTCACTGCTAGCATATATACTAAACTTGGCACACACCAATCCTAGAACCCATCCCTTAAATATGTATATACTGATATGCGTACATATATCCAAAGAAAAATGATGAACTAGTACTAGTTATGCGCAGACACCCTTGCATGCATCTAAGTATATAATTACCTTCACATATCCAATCCAATTCCTAAAATCTTCTTCTATCACAGAGGCTATGGTTATGTATATACACATGCATACAGGCCAAATACCAGGATCCCCACCAAATCCTACTTCTCCCGTGACAACACCCTAATGCTAAAATCACAGGGAAAAAGCTCTTGCCTTGGATATGTATATACATGTATACCCAATGCTCAACTTTTCACAGTTTCCTCACAGCTTGCAATCTCTCTTCCTTCACCAGCGCTCTCAAAGAAAAGGAGAGTTTGCTGGGAATGGCGGATGAGGTAAGAGGGAGTTTCAGACCCTCTTTCTAGCATCCCAAGCAAATAAAAGATAAGGGGTATCCACCTCCTCCCTTTACATCACAATAACAATTGTCCACCTCATCCTCGGCTCATTAATGGGTTTCTCAAGGATGGTTGTCATCTATGTGTGTATGAAATTTATCTTTGGAACTAGAGCTCATGCGTGTCTCTAGAGGGGAGATGGGTGCAAGAACAGACAAGGAAAATAAATCCCTCCACTCACATGCCTTATTGAATCCCACTACACCTAATCACTATTGAGATAAATTTTTGATT